AAAATGTAGTAAGTAGTAGTGGTAGTAGTAAGGGTAGGTTAGGTACTAGCAAGTAAACAAAAAAGGGAGGTCCAGTGTTCACAGTGCTTGAACATACAACTAACACACACGAGTGTCTCTGTTACTGTTCCACAGTAGATTCGTTGATAAAAACATACAATATGTATAATTAAGTATTCCCTTAAGGCGAAATTAAAAAAGAGCGATACCTGTTATTGTTATTAAGGACAAAAGTAATAGTCATTTTTCGCAAAATCTTAATAATTTAGAGTGCAAACTATAATGTATAAATACATTAATAGGTACAACAATGAGGATTCGGTATTTTTTATCAGAATACCACAGTCCTTTCTATAGAAAAAAGTGAATTTCTTAAAAAAAAAAAACAAATATCGTTATAAGTATTGTCATTAGTGACAACTATGTGCTTAAAACTTAAATTTCATTATTAGGATGGACACGATTAGGGTTGATCGTCTGTCAATAAAATGTATTTGCATAGTAAACCATACAAAGTATTTAACAATATTATAATGAACATATTCGCTCACACATAGCAATCTGGAAATTGTTTACGGTCAATGGGTAATTTTCCCTTTTTTTGGGGAGTTCTCCTTAAAATAGAAAAAAATAGTTGACTGTAGATTTTTGAGAAAAGTTTATGTAATAGTTCCATTCTAGATCTACCTTCGGTCTAATTTTCAGACCTAAATCACTAAAATTTGTATTGAAATAGTGCAATAAAGTAAAAATGTCTACCCCTTTTGGTGGAAAGTGTTTATGAAAGTTATTTCATTTGTCAAATCATTGTGAGCCACCCTGTATATCGTTTGGCATTTTACTAAAAGTGCTATATTTTAAAGCCTCTCACTATTTAAGGCTTGAACTAAAAATACTGAAATTTGTACAGCACTATGTAGAACATTTAGTAAAAGTTTAGCAATGGAGACTTATTTTTACTATGAGCCGTAAGAACTTGAATTACAAATTTTGTATTTTGGAACTACGCATAACATTTTTTAACAATTAGTTGAAGCCCTAAAGAAGTTATAGGCTGTTAAATTTTTTTTTCACAGTGTATAATGTGTAACTTCACGTTTGGAATTTTACTAAAAAATTGGTATATTTAAGAGCCTTTTTTACTAGCCTTTTTCAGGCTCCATTAAGTTGGCCCCCCCACATGAATTTCTTTAAACATTATCGGATTGTGCTACGTTAGTGCTGGTTTGTGCCGAAAACCCCATCGTTAGTGCTCCCCCCGTTCCAAAGTTATACCGTTTTCAAAGTGGGGGGGCCATCTTAACGATAGCCCCCCCACATCGGAAATTTGAATTTCTTTAAACATCATCGGATTGTGCTACGTTAGTGCTGGTTTGTGCCGAAAACCCCATCGTTAGTGCTCCCCCCGTTCCAAAGTTATACCGTTTTCAAAGTGGGGGCGCCATCTTAACAATAGTCCCCTCAAGTTATTGAAGTTTCAAGTTTAGGGCAAGAGGAAATATGGAGTGTAGTATTATTTTTATCTGCGCGTCTAGGAGCGTATATTTATAGCGTTCAGGATCGACTTGCCAGTCACTTTTGAATGAAATGTTACGTCAAATTATTGTGATTAAGTAGTAGGACGCCAGAAAACGTTACTTAGTAGAACCTATTTGTTTTCTTAAATATTAAATATAAAAACTCTTATTATTTGTTTTTTAACATCATGATATGTTAGTCTAGGCTTCGCACGTTGAAATTAATACAATGAAATGCGCACTTATTGTTTACGTAAATGTTATTTTGTATAATGCGCTCTTGTTTCAAATATGCTCGTAATGCGAACAAAGAACATTGTTATCTTCGTCTTTTAACCAATAGCTAGCTTACACGACATAATATAGTATTCAATAGGGGAATAATTATTTAGATTGAAAACAAAATTGTTAATGTATAACAACACAGAACACTAGTCTTATATTTTAGTGTGCAAAAATGGAAGCGGTACGTTTTTTGGTAATTTACTCTAACGTATTATTATTATTAAGTGCTTTTTCGACGGCGAATCGCGTTGACCAGATCAACCAACTACTAATACACCCTAGATGGTCGAATCTAGGATCAGGGCACTATCGCGTGGAAATTATTGAGCGATGGGGGGGCTCTCAAAACCGAATCACCGCAAATGATTTGATTGCAAAAGGTCCGAATACACAGATAGTAACCGACGAAAATGCCGATACTAAATTTCGACAAGTTCACCAATTGTTGAGTTGTCGGTATGTTAACGTGATAAAGGAGTTCAGCGACTACCAGAGGGGAATAGGACCAATATGCAGAGGGATGACCGAATCTTTCAAATCTTTCGAATGTTTGAAAATATTAACCAATGTAATCAAGGAGAACGATACCATCCTATTGCCTATGCAAGCTTCACTTTTATGGTTTGTTAAGATGTCACCAATAACTCAGTTCCCTATGGACGTATCCGTAATTCTCGGCTACTTCAAGAGTTTTTACGACAGCAAGACTGTCAACAGTAGCACGTTAAAACAAAATGTAACTGAGGAAACTATTATACGAATCGTCAAGACCGAAAGTAGAGAAATCGAAGAATACATGTCAGAAATGGTAGGACGCTTGAGTACATTTTTCAACGATAATTGTTGGTCACCTCCGTACCACGAAGGAAAATACGGCATTTCGGAAGCTACGGCTTATGTTCAGGATATAACCGCAAGAATAACTGCCGAGTTTGCACCATATGAAATAATAAATAAAGCAAAAGAAGTAATTAATACATTTTTAAATGCAGAATTTGAGGATTTAGGCTTTATTTACGATTCAACATCAAATCTTGCGCAAATAATAATTTCTGACCCAGACCAGTTGCGACGCGTTGAACAAATGAACAGGATTTTAGGAAATGACGGATGGGAAAAGTTGGGCGCAGTTAAAGATCACATACATATTTTAAATAATTCAACGAGCAGTGATTACACAACTGTGAACAAACTACTCGAGCTTAGTCCCAACAGGAAAAAGATAGTGACCAAACACAATTTAAGTACTAAAGTTCATCAAGCTTATCAATTTTTGTGTTGTAAGCATGCGACAATTTTGAAAAAGATTTGCGATTTCATGTTGACAATATTGAATAAGATTGTCTCTGATTTAACAGAGACATTGAACATATTTCTTGAAAAAGTAAAAAACGTTCATTCATTGGTGTCGCACTTACACAATGCGCTATTGTATGTTTACCAAATGTCTCCCGACATTCTATTCAACCTAAGAATGTCTGAGATACTAGGAGACTTTATGGTTTTATGTGACGGAGTTACTTTTGAAAAATACTCAAGCGATGAAATTGCAATTGTCAAAACAAATATTAGCGTTATTCAAGGAAATGTGAAAATCTACTTTCGTCAATCTTGCTATCCGTATGCTTACCATATGGAAGGTATAAGAAGATCTCTCAAAAATACATACGACGCGAAGAATATAATTAATAACTTCCAAAACAAAATTTACAAATTTGAAAAAACAGCCGTTTATGACTTTGGGTTCATGTACAACCCGGTTAATAATACCGTTGAGTTAAGACTGTGGTAAACCTTACTAATGTTTAACCAGTAAAATATATATATATAATTAAAACTATTATTTTATGGAGTTAAGGCTATGTCATAATATTGGTTTCTTTTATTCATATATTTGTATTCTTATAAACTATGCAATAAACAATATTATATATATGAGTAAATTTACCGTTATATGAATTTGGTTTTTAGTCTATGGTTTCAATATTCGTGGTAAATTAGTGGCTCCATTAAGTTGGCCCCCCCACATCGGAAATTTGAATTTCTTTAAACATCATCGGATTGTGCTACGTTAGTGCTGGTTTGTGCCGAAAACCCCATCGTTAGTGCTCCCCCCGTTCCAAAGTTATACCGTTTTCAAAGTGGGGGGGCCATCTTAACGATAACCCCCCCACATCGGAAATTTGAATTTTTTTAAACATCATCGGATTGTGCTACGTTAGTGCTGGTTTGTGCCGAAAACCCCATCGTTAGTGCTCCCCCCGTTCCAAAGTTATAACGTTTTCAAAAACACATTGGGAATTACAACTGTTTTCAGTATCGCCGGGTTCTGCATTATAAAGTATATAACATGAAAATAGTATATATAATTTTTTTACGTAGTAGCTACCTAATTGTTTTATTATATTATGTTATTAACTGGTAAGTAAATGAATACATACATAATAGATATTTTTAAGAAAACTTATATTCAAATATAAAATTTATAAAGAATGTTTTTATTGCTATAAACATCATATAATATATAAAAAAATATATTAATATATCGTGGAGATATACTATTATTTTTATATTGGAATAATATTCTTATAACAATTTTATGATATTTTAAATGTTTTATAATTTGTTTGTGTTTTCCGGGATTATTGTGAAAAAAATCTTTTACCGTCAGTTTAACAGCTTACAAATGTGTACAGACTGTTTTGATGTGGTAAATGGTAAAATAATAAAGTAAAAAATTATAAGAGGGTATGTACCTTACACTTACCTTAGCAGTTTGCGCACAATTAACAAACTGTTAATATGATATTTTAAGCAGCTGGTTGTTTCTTATTAAAAAAATATAAAAACCAATCTTTACGGTAAAACTGCTACTACTTGAGTAACTTAACCGACCCTACAAAAAAGCCACAAATAGTATTCTAAAACCGATACATTTTTAAGCAAGATATCGATGTCGAAAAGTCCTCAAATGAAAATTATACGTTTAATTATAATTTGTCTAATACATGTTATATTCTAGAAATCACAGATCTCCTATCACAGATTAACATCAAATTGATTATTTTAAACTTTTACTTGTCTTTATTTTATATTTTCCAAATAGACAATTAACACACACACAAAAAAACATTACTCTTATCATATAATTTTATATATGATCATAATAAATGTATTTAAAATATAATAACGAACAGAGATTTTTGTCGACGGATACAATTTAATTATAGGCCATATTTACACAAATCGTAATTACTATAATAAGATTTTTCATAACTTTATTTTGTACCTTCTAGTTAATTTATAATTAAAACTTAGTGTAATATAGTTTACAATGAAGTTATTAACTAAAACGAATAAATCGTCAACGACAAAATGTGTAAATAATTTCAAGACTAAATTGAATTCACTAAAAGGTATTATTGAAAAAAAGTAGTATTATAATTGAATACCATAGGATTTAAGAGTAATATCATTAAAAGTAACCAAATGACTTGTTAGGTCTGATAAGTACTTTCCTGCTCTTTCAACCAATTGCCATTGATTTTTTTCTCTGTCATATCTTTCACAATGAAGTTGACCTCTATTATTCACAAACACGAGTGTGTCGTTTTTTGCGATAACAATACCTGCATTTTATAATATTTATTAGTAAAAAAATCTATTGTATACTTAATAAAATTAATTATAAATCCGTTGTAATCCTTCTTTGCAAATCAAAGGCAAACGTAAATATTTCATAAGAACCGGTAACAAGTCATTACGTTCAACTGGGTTATAGCGTATCCAACCAGTGATAAAATCAAATATCTAAAATAAATTCATAAATTATTATTAAATAATTGTAATACAAACAACATTAAAATTATTTATTTTTTTAATTTATTTTTAGTTACAATAATTATACCTTTTCCTCATTATCAATTACTAAATCATCACGTGCAATAAACTCGACAACATCATCAAAATCAAAGTCATAAAGCGTTTCTAATGCTTGATGCGAATTTACAATTGTACTACAAAAAATCATTTTTTTTATTTTTGATTATTTAATAAAATGCTGCGACCATAAGCAACTGATTACTCACGTGAAATGGTTTAAAAAGTATGACAAACAAAAATTGTAAATTTTTTCGTCTGATATTAGTTTGGAATGTTTCATGAAACTAATACAATTTGTAGGACTCATGTTTTCTTTAATGTATATAAAACAAAACTCTTTTATATATTCTAGACCATACATGTCAGCAGCCATCAACAGTTTCTAAAAAAAATGTATAGCAAGTAATTAAAAATAGAGTAATATTTTATAAATTGTATACCCTATTGCATATTTCCTACCACGCAATTGGTTTCTTTAATATCCAGCTTACGAGTATATGCAAATTTGACCACCAATTCTAAAATTTCAGAATCTATTTCTTTTATAAGAATCTCATTTTCGTTTCTTTCTCTAAACTGTCCACTGAACATCTTATAAAATACATGACTTGCAGAAGCCAATATATTTCTGTGTGCTTCTATTATTAAGCCTTCATCAGTAACTATGGTAACATCACAAAATTCTTTGTCCCTAGAAAAAATGTATCCGTATTAATGTATGTATTGTCATTAATAGTTATGAATAACTATAAGATTTGATTATTAAAAAACTTGAAATAGCCAAAGTATAAGTTTTGTACTTGGATTATGTAAAAAAATAACACATCATTTTTAAATGAAAGATCTGAATTATAAGATTTTAAAATTCATTTAACACCATTTTTTCTTTTATTTACAAATAAAGTACATTTTTAATTATTGTTTTAAAATATTTAACCTAAAAGTTTTTAAAAAAAATGTTTATGATAAAATATACAATGTGATCATTTTATCATAAACCACTCAACATGTCACCGGGTTTAATAAGAACTTTAGTTTTGACATTTTGACTGGTCGATGATTTTGACCACCCGTACTTCCCCTCTTAATTTAAAAAGCTAGTGAAATTAATGCGTTACTACTTAAGTTTCAAAAGTAGCTATTAAAAAAAAATTAAGTTGGGAGGGTGGTACATACAAAAAAAAATTATGAAAAATTGAGATCACATTGTACAAAAACTAGAGATGGGCCGATATTAGAATCACTAAATACTAATTCCTTACTAAACCCTATGAGATATTGAATGGTTCACGATAAAATTATCATCTTGTATATATTAATGTGTAAAGTGCACCAGGACTCTGCTATATTATTTAAAACGGCCCGATAAAAATACAAACAATAAAAATAAATAAAACTTTTCAATTAATGACTTACTCATAAAATTGGTAAATTTTTTTTAAGCGTTCTTGCATAATAACTTCCATAATAGTTTTGCTTGTACCTATTACAGTATAGATTACAAGTGAACCTTTTCTGTGTTTGATTGTTTACTAATTGTAAGATTAACTAACCTAAAACATGTATAAGACACAAAATACAATTAATTTTCTATATAAAAAAAAAAAAGAGGTATTTAAAGTGGCGTTAATGCTGTATCGCTCGATTTTACTCCGAGTAAACGATAAGTAATAAACAAACACCTATAGATTTTGATTTTATTCATTCACAAGCAGTATTCTAAGTCAATAGAAGATAGAACGTCAATAGTGTAAATAAATTAGAAATACAAAACCGTAAGTACTCACACAACGTAGATCCGTAAACCGCTGTCCAAGGCCGTTACTAAAAACTTATAATAAATTATTAACAGGCAAGACAAAACTCAATTGTAACACAAATTGTAACAAACGCACTATGTTAGGTGTTTATCACAGAATTCGACCGAGTTATTATGATTAAAATTCAGAGATTTTCACCAATCGGACCGGTAGTAAAAATAATGGCAAAAAATACCTGCACCTATGGCGCTAAATCGAATTTAACTAGTTATAATTCACACAAATAAGAGAATACAAAAATAAATCTTAATTTTTAACAACAAATCGACTTTTGCTTGACAATAATTGCGGTTTTAGTGCAAACACAGATTATATGAAAACAGATTGTTCACTCGGGCCTTTAACAATAGGATTGCAAATAAGGTTCTATGATTGGCCCGCCAAAATCAGTGTGACCGTCTGAAGGGAATTTGTTTTTAAACGTGTTCGCGGGCTTTCGCATTTGTTAAATAATTGAGCTAAACAGAATGTTTCTCTTGTATTTACCAAACATTTTATAAATATTAATAACCATAATGATAATAATAATAATTTAATAATATTATTCTTACAATTACAGTTGTTTTATATTATTTTACGCACTATATAGTATGTCTTATCCAAGGGCAATAATTTTAATTTCAATAATAAATTACAATTAATAAATAATAATACATTTAATAATAAGACATTTTAAAATTCCCAATAAGTAAAAATATAATGCATTATAAACAATAAACATAACATATCCATACTTATTAATATACAATTTTAATTATTTCTAACATAGAGAAATAGTAAGCTGTCCACCATAGGGCATGACAACTGACAGAGCATTAATCAACTATGAATAGTATTGACACGCAGTATTTAATTACATTGTTATTGTAAAAATAATATCAATTCAAAAATAATAAACAAAAAATAATTATAAATAAAATAATACAAATTATTATAAAAAAGTATTAAACAACTAAAAGTATTGCATATTTATATACCTAGTTATACGTGTTTTAATATAACCAATTTTTTATTTACTCTAATTCTATAGGCTACTCAGATAAAAGTCGTGCCTTTAAAAGTATATTTGGCGTATAAAATGCGCATACGCGCCTGCTAATAGGTTAAAATAAATAAAAAATAATGAACATGACATAATTAGTAAAAATTAATAAATCACAAAGTTCACATAAATAAAATAGTATAATTGTTAGTAAAATAGTATAAAAAACTGAAGTGCCGAATTGTTTTCCGTTTAACATGTTACGGATACATATGAGTTCTAACAACTGACAAATTTTCAACTTAAAGGTCCCAAAATTATGGCTTAAAAACAAAAAAAACTTGTAACCATCCTAGGGGGTGGGATATGGGAGTAATATAAATCCGACACCAGTCCATTTTTGGTCGTTTAAAAAAAATGTTTTGCCAGAACCATTTCCATTATTCTGAAAATGCAAACTGTATAAAAGACTTAGATGCTATTTTAGTATTATGAATGAAAACAAATTTAAAAATAAAAATATGTTTTAATAATTTTAATTTTTTTTGGTCAGAATAATAATGTCAACCAAAAGATCACCTTGTATAAACTACAGGTGATTCATCTGATGTAAGACATTCGTTTTTTCAGAAAATTAATTCCTTTAAAACTGTTTATAAAATGTTATTAATTGATTATTTATTGTTCATCAATCTGTTCATTTGCTATGAAAAAATGTATAAAATATATCATAAATTAAATACAAATTAGTGAATTACAGTCAATTAAAAATTACTAAATTGCCATGAAGTGTTTCTTTTTTTAGAATTCATTCACATTCCGACATAAAGTTAATTAATTCCCATTCCTCATTCCTTAAAACTAAATGTAATACATTCATGATTGCATTCCTCTAAAAAGGAATGAAATCCAATAAATGCATTCTTTCCAACACTGATATATATATCAGTGTTAGTAATGAAATGTCTTTGAGATAATGATAGAGTGTTATCGACGGGATCAATATTATTACCGATATAACATTTATTATTTTTTTAACATTTAATATGATAAATACACAGATTATATGAAATAATCATATAATTTGTGATTATATGAAATTATATGAGATTATATGAAATAATCATATAATTTGTGGTAAATACAAGTTCGATAATTTCGTTCCGGCTGACATGGTCACACTGGTTTCGGCGGAGTGCTTATCAGCTCATTTTTTGTTTACATCGAGAGTGAACAATCTGTTTTCATATAATCTGTGGTGCAAACTACACGACAACGCGCTCCCACTGAACTGATTACATGGAACGCGCATAATGCATGTTTGTGTACAGGGCAGTTCTTCCAAAAAATGATAAGAGATAAGAGTTCTTCCAAGAGATAACACAATCTTTATTTTATCAGCGTGACCAACCCAGAAACACCAAAATATAAAATCACATTCTATCAGTCTGCCAATTCTATCAGAATAAAAGTAACTAAAATATAACTAACGTTTATCAGAGTTAACTGTTATCTCTAGAACCAAACGGCAATAATTCAAATGATAAAAAAAAATAACCGTGTTAAAATTTATAATATATTTTTTTAAATAGTACACATTTTTACGATACATTTATTATGACAAAAAACCAACATGTTCATACGACGACAACGATAATTATTGGTAAATAAAATTTACTTTCGTTTCTTATTAATATTAAATTAATATTTTTATTAGAATTCTTTTTTTATTCATAATTCAAAACTCTTATTTTCACATAATATAAACTTGCAATATTTAATATGAATAACATAATATATTTATCAATTATAGTACCTAGCGACAAAGTTCATACATACACTATGTTGTACTAATTTGTGTGACAATATTATTACATCCTATTTAAATAAAACTATTAATACAAGTAAATTATGTTTTACAGTATGATGGTAGTCGTCTGAAGACATAAAAAGCTTATCGGTATGCTTATTCATTAGAGCGGTTCGATTCCTGAAACTATCTCTAATCTGATTAAATGTGGTAACAGGTGTGGAGTTATTTTTTGTAAAATTGTTTTAATTGATTTAATCTCTATTATTTTAATAATTAACATTTCAACTTTTAACTTATTTATTAATAATATATCTTTCAGTTTTAAGATGAGTCAAAGATGATGGTTGAACAGTTCTCCATTGACACATTTTTAAAGATGTAGTAATTATAAGAAAAAACGAAACAATAAATAACAACACAAATTTGTTTAGACGTGTCTTAAAAAGATAAATAAAATCCCCAAGCTGTTATGTACTAAAATTTGCAGGATACTTTTGTGTGGTATTAAAACTTTAACTTCATTGTAGAGATTTGATTATCGCTAAGTAAATGGCCATGTTAAATGAATAAGTACTTAGATGAATAAAATATGGGCTATGCCATCTTCTATCAAATATGGACATTTTCAAATCAAGAGATAATTGTAAAATTGCAAATTTATATTGACCAAAAATTGAATCATATTTTTAAATTATATGAATAACTATTACTGAACAAATTCATATTGTTTAGTTTGGTTTCTTTTTAAAAATATATACCCAGAGTAGCTTAATATAAACTAATTTCTGTAAAATATTAAGTGAATAATAATTATTTTAAAAACCTACTAATAGATTATAAATAACATTCAATCCTGCAAGGTATTTTAATACAGACATTTAAAATACATTATTTGGTATTGAATACTATTTTTGATAATTTGTTATTAATTATTTAATTATTATATATATATATAATCTGTATGGTACGGGATACTATTTAGTTAGTTTTCCTTTTTTTTTTTTAATTCCGTAAGACAATCAGTCTGATTAGTTAATCTCACCAACATAAAAGCAAGATTGCATTAAATTACATTATATATTTATTAAGTATGACGTTTATACGATTATGACCCTAGTTTGATCATTTTTATTAATATAACAGAATTGTTTATTCTAGTTTACAATAATTTTATATTATGCAATATTCTTATTATCTACCTATTATCCCATGCAAAAGGGCCGTACAACAATTTTTTTTCTCATCACAAGTCTTTATCCGGCAATAGGTTCACTTTGGACTATAAGTTTATAATGTATATATTGATTTGTGTAGAAACTTGAAAATCAAATATGTGTTTTATTCTAGCTATTTGTGTGAGGTATTTAAACTACAAGTGTCATATGTTCCGTTTTCCTTGCTTTAATATATCCTTTAGGTACCAAGTTTTGTTAATAATATATCTTCTAAAAGACAAGATTGAAGACAAAGCTCAAAAGCTCCTACCTGTATTCTTTAACTACAGAATACATATGTAAGATGTGGTAAAACTAATTTATACTTGACAGCCAAATTTTGAAATCGTCAACTAATTTAGGTAAAAAGTAAAAATAATGTTCTATTTAAATAGTAATATAAACAATTTGTGGGAAATTTCAATAAAATTATTATTATTTTATACCAAATAATATTAAATTATAACATATACTTATAAGTTATATATATAGGTACACTAATATAATGTAATTTTTTTTATGAATTTTACATTATATAATTTTACGTGTATAGTGAATACGATTTTAATTAGAGAACTGATAAAGATCTAACTACAATTTGCAATAAAGATAAGAACCTAACTAAAGGCAATGTTTTTGATATTAAAATACGAAATTTCTCTTGGCGGGTTTTTGGTAAAATCGATGTTGGTGGTACTATCCACGGTCTTATATAAGACCGTGAATAGTAATAAATAATAATAGATACCTAACCAATTTTACAAGGCTTTTATCGCTGTCAAGATGTATGCTTTCATAATGACCTTAAAAGTAAAATATTAAATTGCGTAAATTGTACGTAATTTAAAAATAATTTCTCCATCACTAAACGTTTGTCAAATGTTCAACTCACCTATAAGTATTGGACAATTGTTATTATGAATATTTTACTAAAAATGTTGACTGGTTGATAACCATTTTGAACAGTTATTTTTAAAGTTATAAGAGTTTAAAAGTTACGACGGCAGGGAAAGTGCGCGTTGATAAAAATAATACTACACTCCACGTTTCCTCCTGCCCAAAACTTTAAACTTCAATAACTTAAGTTACAAGTTTATAAAAAAAAACAATTAGTTTTGGAGGGAAGTAAAAACAAAAAAAAAATTTATATCACATTATAAAAAAAACACTATGAAAAACAATTTAAGTTATTAATTGATAAACCCAATGAGATATTGAATGCACCACACCATGCACGTGTTCTGTGTATTTTAACATGTACGGTTTAAATTTAATATACAAATAAAATGGGTTGTCGTTAGTGATGGGAATCGGAAAATCCGGATTTTCACAAAAAAAAACACGATTTAAGCTACTTAAAAATCATATAAGTGTTAAATAATTTTACAATATAAAGCTCTATATTTAAGTAACATTTTTTTGATAAATATGTGAAAATAAAACAAAATAAACTGCTTTTGAATTTCGGATTTGTTGAAATCCGAAAACCGAAAGCATTTTATAGACAAAGTTAAGAGTTTTTTTTAAAACATTTTATCGACAAATTTTACTTAGGTACACATCTTTATATTGTAATAGTATTTAACAATTATATGATTTTCAAATGACTTAAAAAGCGGTTTTTTGAAAAATCCGGATTTTCGGATTCCCATCACTAGTTGTCGTTGACATATCTGCCGTTGGTCGGGTATGGTTGAAATCGCCGATTCTAATAGTAATATATTGATCTGCATTCCACTTTTTTTTTTACACTGCATTATCATATATTGTATTTGTACAATGTGATCTTAATTTTTGTTTTGGTTTAATGAACATTATATTTATGTGTATTTCATTTTTGTCCAAATCTTCCAAAATTAATGTAGTAATCTATTCAGCAATTATTAAATACCTGTAATAGGACTAAAAAGTAAAAAAAAAAATTTAAGATGTTTAACATTCTTTAAAATTTTAGTTAATTTTCGGTTGTTGACATTTAAGATAAAATATGCTACAATTGATTGGTAAATTGTTCTTGTAATAAAATTAATTTTTTACTTTTTAGTTCACTTTTTACTATTTTTTTTTTTGGAAAAGCATGTTTTTTTTAAATAAAATGATCACTTTGTATACTACTGTTGTCTGTTCATGTAGTCGTCTGGGACTTCAACCGAGGGTCCAAAAATTATTATTAGTATTTTACCACTAACGGAAAGTCATGTACATAAATATATAATTAAAAAAAAACTCAGCATTGTAGTTAAAGAGCACAGTGGGGTCGAAACGACCACTGGTTTTGGAAACAACGCACAACATATTTGTATTCAAGTTCTTACAACTCTTAGTAAAAACAAGTATCCGTTACCAAAACTTTTACCAGATGTTCTATACCTATACATAACAAAAGTAAGTGCTATACAAATTTTAGAGTCTTTGATTTAAGCCCTAAGAAGTTATAGGGTTTTCAATATTTTTACCTCGAGTGAGCATACAAATTTAATGTAATTGATGAGATTTTGAATTTGTTTTACAATTTTTAGTTACTTAAAAATTTGAAAAAAAAATTGTTGAAGGATATTATGATAAAGAACACTTAAATTTCAATTGTCAAGTGAAAGTTCTATTTCGATATCACAATTAGTAGTCATTAAATAACGTGGTCGTGAACTTGAGGTGTTCTTACAATAAATTTACGGAATATAGCAACGCCCAAGTCAGGTTTTTTAAATAAAAAATGCTGCTTTTTATCGAATTTTAAACATAAAAAAAAATAATAATATTAGGGTATTCTTATCGTTTTTTTTATTATAATATGTTCACACAAATTTATATAACAAATTATAAAATCTCGACCAACCATAGTAATCTATGTTTTTATATTTAAAAAAAATTGTATTAATACATTTTGAAAATTATTTATGTTTAAAAACTCTATAATAGGTACCTAGTTATATCGAGTATACAGCCTAGGTGACTTATTGTTAGTTGCTCAACTGTCTATCTGTAAAGCTAGAGGGTTGGGGCTTCGAAACCCAATAAAACACAATAAAATGTATAGGATATACTTAATGTCCATATTATTTATTATTATTAATATAATTATTCATTAGTAGCTAAAGATTTTTAAGGGGAAACTCAGTTTCAAATTCTCCTATGACGGGCCTCCACTGAAAACAGAAAATGGTAAAACTAACACTGATACGAACGCGGTACTTATACTATAAACCAAATTCTAATAATTATTTCATAAAATGAAAACTTACTTACTAAATCGCTGAAAAAATCATTCTTACACGTTCAAATGCGGTCAAATGTGAAAAATAATAATTAGATAATCAAAAAAATATTTTAAGAATACAGCTATTGCCCCTTCTATAATACGCGGAATTTGCCCCTGGACATATTATGTCCCATTTGTCCTTCCCTAGTAGTCGCGCCGTTGTTAAGGAGTTTTGTATATGCAATATTTAAGAAAAAACGGTTTTAATCAATTTCGACCATGCCAATATTCATTTACCGGTTATTTTGTACAAGCTTCAAGGTATTGTTTTTAATTTAAATCATTTTTTTAGGACGGCTCTATTTCAACTGTGTAAAGAGATTCGAGTTCTATGAGTTCTTATTCGAGTGTTATGTAGGAAGCCGAATTTCAGTTTCTCGTACCTAGTCAATAAAATTAAATTTGCAATTTTTTCGATATTAAAAGCCAATTTTTTCACACGAGTAAAGTCGATCAGTTCAGTAAATTAGACCTTCCCAAAAAAAAAAAAAAAAAATCCAAAAATTTGTATCCTACACGACATAGTAGGAGTTGCCAAAGAGCTCGTGTATCATTACATAATTGCAATACGATCCTCCTAAGTAGTCGACATTTTGCCTGGCTTTTTTGGTCTAAAACGTGAAAAAAAAACCGACCGCACGCAATAACATATTGCCATAATATAGTAAACCATATTATTATTGTATTATATTTATGCTAAGCCATGAATCTTACCGTATATATTATAATGTTTACAAAAATAATTAACGCATAGACAAGCGTACTTTACACAATACAATGAACATAATGTAATATAATAAAAATATTATTATATAATATTATAATAGTAATTAGTATACCGTAAAAAATATTGAGTAAAGAATGCATAGTGTGTTATCGAACGGCCAAAGTGATAACAGTGCGCTTTCTGCCGATAATAATAATTAATAAATAACAATACACTCGATATTATTATCGACCAAAGTAATAGTAATAGGCCTATTCGGTGGAGTAGGTAATTATTATTAATAATATATAATATTATGATGATAATAACCATATATTATTATCAGCAGCAGCTATAAACATTGATATTGACCTATCGACCGAGCTGTTCCCGTCTCAAGTGCCACCACCACCACCACGTCTTACTGATAAATGACGTGTGGTTTCCCTCTACTAAAATTACAATATCTTATATCATTATTAAATATTATATTATATATGTAAACCAATAGCCGCCGACGTATAACGAGTTTTAAAACCCAACACTCGACACCGGCTATATAATAATATAATATTACATTATATAACACACACACACACACACCGTAAGGTTAAACGGCAGTAATAAAAACCAAAAAACTGATAACGAATGGGTAGGTTGTTTTTTCTTTTTCCGCCGTCGAACGTGATGAATCATAATTTATATTTGCTATAATACTTAATTATCGTGATGATTGGCCTTGTGTCTTTGAAAGTAACACAATAACAATACTAATAATTATAAATGATAACCAACACACCGGTTTGCGCAACGTGAGAGGTAAGATTATGTGAATAACAGTATAATAATTTATGTAATAAAACATTAACGTTGCCTGCTTACCTAACTACTAATTAGATGATAATGTGATTTTAATATTGTGTGTGTTTGTGTTTACGGCTCACAGCTAGTTGACGTCGATAATGTACGAGTCGTTTGCCGTGCTACCTACGTAGGAACGACCATGATGATTCCGGACACATGGTGCAAACTGTTGGCTTGCGGCGTTCTCGTCTACTGGTTCGGCTATTGGCTTTTCCATTTGGCGGCTATTTGCTACGGGTAACCCTTCGAGTCCGCACGAGACCGACGGTCGTGTCTACGGTGAATATAATTGTCGCCTTTTTTTGGTTTTGCAGCAAGTACAAACTGCATCGGATTAAAAAACAACAAACTGACGTCAATACGGTCTCAGTTGAGGCCGACAAAGATTACCCCGGAGTCAGTATAATAAAACCTATGGTGGGCGTAGATCCCAATTTGGCCGACAACCTGCGCACTTACTTCACGATCGACTATCCCAAGGTACTGATCCAAACTGTTGGCACATAATATTTTATTAGTAACTAAAGCATTTATTTAGGTTTTTAAAAAAAAAAAAAATTTTTTTATCTTTTTGATAACAAAAAAACATAACATAATATTATGTAGTCAAATGTAATTCTAGTGGCGGCTTATTCAGTGTAATATTCAAAATCTTTATTACGACTGTACAACCGAATTATCTTTTAACTAAAGCTCGGATGTTTATGACTGCATATTTTTTAGTAAAATCAGAATTATACTGAAATACAATATAAATTCTATTCATAAAAATTTGATTTCAAATCAGCAAACTTATATAGCATATATTTGCCTGTAATGATTATTTCTATATTTAGTAGCATATTTGTAAGTATAATTATTAAAACTGTTCCATTTTATTATTATCTTTAATCGTGTGAATGAGTATGAAGTTGAGAAAAGTATTAAATGTTCTTTTAAATTTGAAAACATTGCCAAGCCTTATAATATCTTTTTAAATAACTAACCTATGTAAAATTATATTTAGCCGGCTAAATTTTTTTTGTTGACCTCAATAAAGATATATTATTGCATATTTTAATATTTAAAAATACATATTTTAACACATTTATGGTCAATAACATCCGAGCTCTACTTATAACATATGCAAACTTATGCATTTTTTTTTAAAATTAAATATCAAATAGTACATTGTTAGAAAATAATGATAAAAATTGTTAAATCTTTATTAGTTTTTCTTATAAATTTAAGTCATAAATTAAAAATTTATATCTAAAAAAAATATGAAAGAAATACACATACAATTGTATGTGATGTGAAAATTCTCTATAAGAAGTTCAACCACGGGATAACTGTAAAATATTATCGCTTTATTATATGTTATTTTTTTAAATTTCTATATTGCATGTCGTTAGCCGGCTAATTACTATAAATTCTATGACAAATTACTTTAATACTGCCATAATACTTAAAGACACAACAACAATTATAATTAAGTTATTATAATATTAATATTAACAACTTAGGTTGGTTAGTTTAAAATGTCAATTATGTCATTTCCGTAATTAGTCGTATGTTGTCTGAATAGCCAAGATAGTACTTTGCTTATGTTATTTATCGTTTGTATGTCTATACATATGTATATATATTTTTTTTTCAGTACGAGGTCCTTCTGTGTGTACAAGATAGTAATGACCCGGCTATTCAAGTGGCCACTACAATGCTTGAAACTTATGGGTCAAGCGTAGACTTGCGGTTGTTAATAGGTACTTTTTTCCTATTGTATTAATTAATGGTTATAGCCGTTTTGTAAAAAAAAATATGATTCAAGTAAAGGGTTTGGGGGTTTTTTTTTAATGTAATAAATATACTAAAAGTCACTTTTTACATTTTTTTATTTCAGGTGCTTCTGATGTCGGGGTAAACCCTAAAATATGTAACATGCATCCTGCATACAGTCAAGCCAAATATCCGTTTGTGCTCATCTCGGATAGTTCCATAAAGAGTAAGTAAACGTCTTAGTTTATTTGTTCAGAAGCGTTATTAAATTTGTACACGTTGAGTTTAGTAGTGTCTGTCATGGAAACAAGATAGACGGCACGTGTAAAACTAATTACTAGTTTAACGTTGTACAAAAACACAATTTAAAGACAGAAACCGATTATTAACTTCAGGATTTCTCTAACGTGTCAATTTTTTTGTTCAATCGCCTCTTAAATTTCAAATAACATACTACATCTTCTATGTTTTTTTTAAAATAAAAACTAAAACTTCTATAATAATTCTGATTCCAGTTCTTAAGACCGTTTCTGAATTTTAAATATTTAGTTTTCCCAAAAACGTGGTCGTGTGTAAATTGTAATAAATTACAATAAAATATCTGCCATGTATATTATGTATTTAGATTTATTCTAACTATCATCCGACTCATAATATCAATGCGATAGAGAGACCAAAACCGGAAACTTATACCACCACACCAGCCCAATTTTATTTGTAAAACGGCCTCAGTGTAGCTAATCACCAGAGTTGGGTGTTTTTTATTTAAGTTATAAGATAAAAGCAACCATTTTTAGTCATTACATGTTGAAGTTAACTTTTAAATCGTGTTTATTTTTATTTAACAACAATTTAGCTATTGCATAGGAATTTAGCGTTTGCCTAATTTTTGAATAAATAATAGCCTTTAAACTAAAAAAACTGTGTAAAACATGTTTTCATAGCATAACAGTTTTTTTTTATAATTTTATTAGATTTAAAAAATAAGACATTTTTATCTATTGTTTTTTTTTTTGTATTCCCATAAACAACCTAATTAATAAAATTAAATATATTATCCTAATCAATAGAGTATTAAAATTGTATAGAAATGCCCAACTCTGAAGCAGCCATGTTATAGCGCCTAGTTTATGTTATACTGACTACAAAATAGATATTTTATCTAAACTTTTTTTTTTAACTGGGCCTCACTAGTATAGAAATTAAAGTTTTTATTAAGCAAAATAATATTTCCATGTTTGTTATTTGTTTTAAAAGATAATAATATTATCCATCTGTATGAGCACACTCAAGTGCGCCCATTCTCATGTATACATTTCTAGGCATTCGTTTAGTAGGTGACCTACTGAAACTGTCTATGGTTTATTACGCTACTTATCTACCTGATTGTTGTTCAATTTTAGGTATAGAAATAAATTAATTTGTATAAGTATCGATGAGAGTCGCTCTATAGTAAATCATTTTTATGTTAGTTATTTGTGTATTGACTGTTTTCTGTCCATTTCTGTATTCTTACATATTTTAAGTTCTCCCAAGTAAGGAGACCGGCTTGTGGGAGCTTAAGCTCGACACACATCATCACAGTGCCATCATTATCTTTTGAAAGGTGTCCAATTTAAGTATATAACTATTGTTCACCTGATCAATTTTAGTAACTGGAGGAGGTATGGGCTGTGTGACTTTTAGCGACAGTTGTAACTTATAACACTTTTACATATTACTACATCTTCTACTAGTTGTGGATCTTAGGTGATTCTTTTGTCCATGCCTTTTATGATTTTTTTTCCTCCAAATTTATTATCAATTAGGGTTTTTGCGCCAAGTATGCCGTGATCACAATACTTGTTTTTTAACTGTGCATGCATTTAATTATATTACATACGTACGATATTGACTGGCTTTGATGTAAATGATGGGTTTTTTTTTTTTAGTGAGAAGAGACACTCTCAAGGACATGGTTGATTGTATGCAGAACGATGTTGCTATTGTTCACCAAATACCGTTTACTTGCGATCGTATTGAAGATATCCATAAATCCGGCATTCGTCAAAGGCGTTTTGTCGCCACACTAGAAAAGGTAAGCTTAATGTACCTGTGACGCGTGCTGTCAGATTAAAAGGGATTCAATTGAAATGTTACAGTTTACGAACAACTGCAACTGTGTGTGGCTTGACTCACTATTTCAGTTTAATCCTCATTTTGTTTTATCTTGTATTAATAACTTCCCAGCCAACGCATCGAAGCTAAATTATGATAATATTATTCTAATAGTTTCTTATTTTGAACGAAATGGTTGTATATATTGCCAAACGACACAACTTATAACTACTCACGCTAAAATTTCTTTTCAAAAAAAGTTTTTAATTAATATTTTTTTCCTTAAAATGTTCAAGCTATAAATCAGTAAGCTATCAGAGTATTATACTGTTACCTATTCATTCTGATTGACTTTTATTTTTTTTTTGGCATGACAAACTATGTAAATTTTGGCCCTGAAACAACTTTCAACTAAACAGTTGTCAAAGAGCTTGTCAGGTTTCCGTTGTTCAGCTATCGCAGCATCATAGATGTTTTGTTTAATTTATTTATAAAGGATGCTCTTGTTTAGAAATGATCCAGATTAATATAATATATATATATATAAATTGTTTTTTAATGTATATTAATTTTTACTCACATCTTGTCCTAGGTATTTTTCGGCACAGCTCACGCTCGAATTTACCTAGTGGCTGATCTTATAAGAGCCGTATGCCATACGGGCATGTCCAGTTTGATAAGGAAACGGGCCTTGGACGAGTGCGGAGGATTAGGCGCTTTTGCTCAGTATCTGGCCGAAGATTATTTTATTGCGCAACAGTTAGTCGAACGTGGTTGGCGTACGACGATTAGCGGACTGCCAGCACTTCAAAATTCTGGAACGTTGGATTTGTATAGATTCCACGATCGTTTGAGAAGGCAAGTAAAATGAACGCATCCACTCTAACAAAATGATTATTATTATTATTATTTTTTTTTTCTGCGACTCATGTATAGATGGGTCAAGCTGAGAGCCTCCATGGTACCTTACACTATCGTGTTGGAACCGATGTCGGAATGCCTGATATTGGGCGCTATAGCAGCGTGGTCCACTCACTTGCTGGTGCCTACTGTCGATCCGTACGCGTTCTATTTGGTACACACGCTTATATGGTTTCTACTCGATTGGATCTTGCTTAGAACTATACAGGTAACGGTTTTTTAGTTCATTTTAAAAGAGTATATTTTTATTTTCACCGTATCCCCGTCGATCTCCCGATTTCGAAACTACATTTTCAACGATATTATAGCCTGTTTAAAAAAAAAAAGGAGTACTCATATTATGTTGTATAAATCCTATTTTACACATTTAAAGGTTTTTTTTTTTTATAACTGTTATATAGAAAATAATATAATTATATTTTTTTTAAATAAAATTGTCTGATTGTTAAACTCATTACAATAGATAGCACATATAACTGTAAACCATCTTTAACAAAGTAAGGCTTTGCTTTACTTAGTATGTATTGTAGGTCTAAAATACAAATAACATAACCAGGTAAAGCTAGCAATCTTAGCGACAGTAATTTAAGTATTTTCATTGGATTTCTCAAGATGTGCGTAACTAGTAACACCTTTGATTGAACTGTGCTCTCGTTTCTAATACCTGATGGCAAAAAATTAGCAAATAATTTTTCTTTAATTCTATCATTTTAATTAAAGCCAAGTTGTGGTTTGGGATGATTTTTTCTTTTTTTTATGGAAGGAGTAATTACTATAGTTTTTACATAGCCTCAGGACCTTCGGACCTCCCTAATTAATCTTATATAATATGTTACATATTATTTGCTGTTAAACATCTTTTCATTCTAGCTGAACAGCCTAAATATATCAATATATATATATAAATTGAAGTTTGGAATTTGAAACTACACTTTTAATGTTTCCACCCCAACGTAGTTTTGTATAAGTCAACAGTTATGTTATCTATTGTGTATCTCTTCATAAATAGCCAGATCTTTAAGGTCTTTATGGTTAGTAGAAAAATAATGAACATTGTTGTCAGGAGATGATGTAATATATGTAATTAGTAATTAAAACAATTTCCCATACCGAACCTCTTAATAAATTACCATTATTATACAACTATTATGATACAACGTACCTAACTTAAATTGTATTATTTTGTTTAAAAAAATTAAAATTAAATAAAACTCCCCGCTTAGTGAAAAACATTGAACGTTTAACTAAACAAATTAATTTAAGATGTTAACATATATATATCTCTGTATACATTGTAATATATAAACTAAGCTGAATGGTGTTTTATGGTGATATATTATATTTGATCAAGCTTATTTATTCTTTTGAGTTTGTCGTAATAATTGTGGATTTATCATTGCAGGGATCGCCGTTGCCTTTCACGCGTGTCGAGTACTCTATCGCTTGGCTGTACAGAGAATGTCTAGGACCGTACATATTTTTAACGGCCCTGTTGTGGAGGCCTAGAATAATACGGTGGGCTGCTCGTACGTACAAATTACGATTGGGCGGCATCGCCGAAACGGTAGATACCGATCTGGAGTGTACAAACATTCTGACCAACGTCGTGATCGAACAACCTCCTAAAATCAAAGTCTAATTCCGAATTTATTATAACATAATGTATTTATTTTATTATTACTTATTATTGTTGTTGTAACGAGTTAAAACAAAAAAAAAAAAACCTGTATATTTTTGTACATGTATTAGTCTACAAATTCATATTTTTTTTTACATTTTGTACGACTTTATATAACATACACACACACACATACACAAGGTTATATTTATTAAATTTTGTTACCTATTATTATTATAAATATAAAAAAAAAAAACCTAATGAATCCGTTCAGATTATTTTATGTCGACAAAAGGAATGAGATTTAGTACATAAAAAAAAAAAAAAAAATTACTGCTCAACTTGCTAATAGGAAAACATTTTCTATTCGTTTTTTTTTTTCAACATAGAGCTACGTTATAAACTGGAAAAAATACATTAGTTTTAAACAAATAAGTAATGCTCACTGAAGATTTCTGTTTTCATCCGCTCCGGTACTATTGTCGCTCGTCAAACATAAAATGAACGGTTTATATTTTTCACTTGTCATTTGTGATAAAATTTTGGCAGTTAATATGACAATAAAATTCCAAATTACAATCAAAATAATTATTGTGTTTTATTAATGTATTACCTTCAATAAATTATCTATAAAGAAAAAATGAAATACATACTCAATAAATTAACTATGGGTGTATACACAGTTACAAAATGGCACTAACTATGTACAATATTATTTACTCTTTTTATATAGGGAATGATTTACATGGAGGAACCGCAGCACAGTCTTAAATAATTATTATTAGGCTAGAAGTAGAAACATTTCAAATAAAAATAAAAAAAGATATACAAAAATTGTCATAAATTACGTATCGTCTTCCACCGTCGATAGTATTGCGCACGGATCCGAAGGACAATGCTGTTCGAATGGTTGCGAGCCAACAAACGCTTCTTCTACGGCGCTCGATACTTTGTAACGTTTTGGCCGACCTCTTCCTTCGTCCCATACGTTTGACGCGGCCAACTGTTTTCGGCGTCTGGTCAAGTGGTACTGCGACACTGTCGTTTCAGGTCTTTTGTTACGCTTGATTACTAACTTGACGCGTTGTTTACGAGGGAGTACGGATCGATGATGGTTAGAAGGACTGTCTGTATCGGAGTCGTAGTGAAGCTTTTTCAAACGTCGCCTTTGACGACCAACGCTGCCTCTAGGTCGCCCAGGAGTGCCTTTGGGTCGTCCAGGGGTGCCTTTGGGTCGTCCGGGACTGCCTTTGGGTCGTCCGGGGGATCCTCGTGGTCGTCCGGGAGTTCCACGTGGTCGTCCGGGAGTTCTTCGAGGCTGTACTGGAACGCTTTTCAATTCGTCAGCGGCAAGAGTTTCAGAAATGACCAATTTTTTTTGCGGACTCCTCTTCGGGTTAGCATTTTCTACGGCGACTGTCTTTTTGAACGGGCGACCTTTCTTAGGTCCAGGCGTAACCGCCGGACCACCACTCTTCCTTTTTTGTCGTCTTTGGGATGTGGTCGCCGATGCCTGCTGCAACTTAAGTCTTTTACGGCTCTGCTTTTGTACGACTGCAGAAGTCCTCCGTTTTACAGTAGATTTGGTTTTCTCTTCTACTTGATCATCTTCTTCCGAAACATTTTCTGACGCCTGGGCCGGCGCTTTCCTTCGCTTTTCTTTGGGCCAACCGGTCATATTTTGTTTTTTCTTTCTCGAGTATTTGTTGCGTCTTTTCCTCGGATCGATTGAATTTATCGTTGCATTGCAATCGGTTATGTAACAATCGTCTCCCACTCGTCGGGATTTGGCCACTGTAATTGAACGCTGCAAAACTTTCAACAGGTCTTGAGGCAAAGCCTGCAGTAGGTATCTTTTGTCTGCACTTTGCTCATACATGATTTGAGCACACATATTGTTAAGTCCCTTAACGTCAAATGACGTATTCCATTCTTTGTGTTCACACGGAGGCAATACTATACACGGGTTTGAGTTTTCCTCGTCCACGTCGTTATACTGTTGGAATTCCATCGCAAACTCTCGACGGTTTTTCTCGGCAATCTCTCTGATGGAAGCCAGCTGCTTAGTCTGCATAATGTTGCGTATTCTTTCGTCTCGAACTTTACGTCTTACTACGTCGACGTGCTTAGTGCGCAGTTTGACTTCACCGCTCTTGTCATTCTGTTGAGCGCACAGTTTAGGCGGTGGTGGAGTGCGTCTCCGGGGGCCGCTATGGCGGTTCGACGATAATCCCGATTTCCTATTACGCTGTCTTTGAGCGTTGTGTGTAATCTCGATCGGAGCGTCCAACACAGGCGGCAAAGGCGATTCTTCTTCGTACGTCAAATTCACCACATCACTCTCATCGACGGTTGTGACTTTAGCTTTAGTAGCTTTTGCGGCCAACGTCGAAGCATGCTGTCTGGGCGACTTCCTTGGACTGATGTCTTTAAGTACGCCAGCCAAATGCTTGTTACGTGCACCCGGAGGTCTTCCCTGTTTTTTCCTGGTTTCAGTATCTTGAACATTATCGGAAACAATTTTTTTACGACGTCCTCTACGAGTTGCCGGGTGCAGTTTCACTTCTTCGTTTTTCTTCGACTGCACCGACGTAGAATTTGCCGAAAGCGCTGACGTTGAAGCGGCTGTAGTTAAACACGGCGCATAGTTAATACTACTCTTCGACACTATACTACCGACATTACTACTGTTAGACATGATTTGTCGTATTTTTCGCAACGATTCCTTGGTGGTTTTTTTTAAGACGTGACCCGTCAATGACTGAGCAGAATAAGCCCAATTGGCTGGCCAGTAACTATGTAAGTATAACGATTCTAGTCGGGGATGAAGCAACGAGCTGTACCCAGCTAGGAAGCCATAATATTCTCCTTTTTCAGGTTCTTTTTCGAGAATGATTGCACGTTTCACAGGTGTGGTATTATCTTTGAGATCTTCGGCAGAATGTTTCCTCTTGCGAGAGGTCAGGGCAAGTTCACATTCTTGTGTTTTTTCTACTGTCGTATGGACAACAGTAGGGCTGACTTGTTTGACTAAACCATTGCATTTTGTGTTAGCACCAACATTGGATTTAACGGTTTCGACCGCACGATTTCGTGGCGGTCTTCCTCTTGGTCTAGACGGCACCACTTTTGACGCACCACTGGTTTTGCGATCGACATTTGAATTTTCCTTAATCGCTTCCTCATTGCCCTGCAAACATGTAAAATTTAATATGTTAATTCGACATTAATTAGGTGTACAATTTAAGTTAGGAAACGACATCAATTTTAGCAATTCATTAAACTTTGTAAATCAAGCTAGAACAAAAAAAATATATAGTAGTAATAAGTAAATAAAAATAGAGTAATAAGCGAACGAATAATTTACTCAATACGAAAACACTTTAGTTCAAATAAACAAAGGGCTATAAGTATTATAGTTACCGTAAAGAGCGTCAAGACATTTACTATAACGGTTGTACAACATATTATGCAAATAAAGACTAAAACGCAAAGTAACTTTCTGAAGTGTTTACCTTACCAATTTTAAATATTTTTTTTTGCTATACAGTTTATTATGTTCCCTATGAGGGCTAAAAGGCTGATTTTTGGTTTTTTAATTCTTTTAGAAGATTTTATATTTTTACTTTTTTCTAATATATCTAACTATTCCGCATCGAAGCTAAAAATTGACAACTGTTTAATAGATACTTCAGAAAATTACTTTGACAAAAGAAAATTTTTATCAAACATTTGCCATAACTAGGAGAAAAAAACTAAAAGTTTTACAACTAGAAAAACTTAATACTTTTTTTAAATATTAATATTGAGAAAAATTAATCTAGTAGCCAATTTTAAAGAGAACAAATATTAAGCTTTTCTAGTTATAATACTTTTTGAGTTATTTTTTTCAGAGTAATGGTGGAAGTTTGATAAAAAATTACTTTTGTAGAAGTAATTCTCCTGGTGTATGTATTGGACAGATTAAAATTTTTTGTTTTCCCATGTGAAGCTTGCTATTTTTTCTACGGGAGCTAATAGGCCGATTTGTGAATTAGCAACTAGATAGATTTATTAGAAAAACCGATTAAAAAGTAAGAATATATATAAACGGCTTATAACTGCCGTTTTAAATACTTAAATGAAATATTTTAAAAGTATGATTTATTTATTTATTACTGATGTCATTACTATTATATTATACTACGATGGTTACGTAGTCAACATCGGGAGGGCGTTTTATTGAAACTATGTTGTTAAAATTAAAAATATGTAACCAAAATATTAATTATTTAGTATGTTAACAAGCATGGTTTAAAAATTCAAACAGTTTATTTACACGTCATGTCGACAACTAAAATTCCGTCCAAAAAATAAACCTACTTTAATTTTCAAAAGATCCTCAAATATGTCTGTATGTGAAATAACAAAATAAAATTGACTTAATAATAAAACCGATTGTTTTGTCCTTAAAATCGAGTAATGTTTGTCGATTAAGATGATTTCTTACCAAGAGGAGCTCAATATCTACAACAAGTGTATTATTTTTCAAATAATTTATTATATTGTTCAAAATGTAATATTATTATAAAATAAGGTAGAATAAGGTACATAATATTTATATTGATAAATGGATTAATCATTTTTTAAAAATGGTTTATCAATATCATGTATAATAAAGTATTAAGAAGGTAAATGATAAAGACAGTGTTCAATGCAAATATTGACATTAACGGTAAATGGAATGATAAAAAAACCTTATCAGAGTTTGTTTTCACTGCAACACAATTATTAATACTAGACGAAAGAGAAAATAATTCTCTTTTTTTTATTACTAATAATGTAGTTGGTTTAGAGTTGATTAATCAAACTATAAGTATAATAATAAATCATACTGACTAGTAAAACAGTTAACAGAATAATATTAGCAAACCGTCGGACCGATGTCATTACCTTGGATACGTACAATACAAGTGCTTACCTTGACATTTGGGCTTACGGCCGTGTTCGCCGCCAGAGCAATCGCGGTACCGTTGTTGGCAAAAACAGTGCTCGTCCGTCTTTTCGACGTCGCGCCGACCGTGTTCGCACTGGTGCTCTTCGAGTGATGGGCCATCTGATACGGTTTGTCGACGACACTATTGTCGTGGCCGTTCACTTTTGAATTTTTCTCGGCGCATTCAATCTGTCCGTCGCGGTCGTGGCCGTTGGCAAGGGGGGACGTGCCGTCGCTGTGAACTTCGCCATTCACCTTGCTTATACTGTTGCCCATACTAGGATAGGTAGACATATTATCATACAATCAACACTGTTCATATTTCGGCCGTGCGCGTTGCCGACACGTTTTAAGCACAACCGGTACATTTTTAGGTACTTACTAATGTTGTGGCCGCCTTCTGCGGCCGCTAAATCGGTCGATCTGCTCGGGCGCTAGCCGGCGGAGCAATACCATCGGCTGACCGTCGCCATTATTGTGAGGCATTTGCGAATCGCGACTACGTTGTGTGTACGTTGTTGCTGCACCACCGCGACGCGACACACCGTCAAATCGTCCGACGGGCCATCGCACGGACGTCCATGTTAGGCGAAAACGACAACGGCAAAAAAATAAAAGTAAATACAAAACAGCCGCAACGCTACACGAATAATAAACAATAATAATAATCGTACGATGCAACGTTAGTATTACCACACACACACATTCAGGACTGGCGGCGGCCGTGCACAACACATAAACAGCTCCGCTCCGTTATTATAATAACAAACAATATCAGCATAACAACACAAGCTGCTGCCGCTGGCCGCTGCTGTGCGGTGCGTACGGTATGCGGTGGCGGTGGTGCGCTGGCGTACACCGGATGTTTGACCGTGGTGGGGGTACGCCATACCGACGCTGGTGGAGGCGGAACGGTCGCGTGGAGGTAAATCGAGGGGGGGGGGAGGAAATGGTTTTCATAACAAAAAAAAAAAGAAATAATAATAATAATAACCGCGTTAATCCGTCGCCCGACCCGTCACGAACACAATATTATACTTTTTATTAAATTCAATTTTCAAATTATTAACGTTATTAATTTTTTTTAATTTTTTTTTGGACGAAAAAAATTATCACAGCCGATGTCGCCGATGATTATTAAATAATTTAATATGAATTTATTCCAGAAAATTACCGGAGTGCCGCGATGATAACGCTACCGACCTCTGCGATACCGCTTCGGATACCGCGCCGGAGCGGACACTCGAAAAATGTTTCAACACATGGCGGCCATCTTGTCGTTTACCGATCGATATTATGATGTTGTACTTCTCGTGTACAGCTACATAATTATTTCAGGATAAACGAGAAGATGGCGGCGTCCGTCCGTCCGGAAAACCATCGTTCACATTGAGTGTCCTCTATGGTTTTTGTGTTAGTCTGTGCACAATACCAAATAACATAACATTATAATATTTTATCGGATAGAGCGCGTTGTGGACAGCGGCTGCAATAATAATTTACAGTTTACTTTATCAAATATCAACGCACACTGCCGCATTGCTTGTCATTTTTTTTAATGTTTGTCGTTGGTAATAATAATAATAATCATAATAATAATATTACATAAAACCGAAACCAAAATGCCGTAAGTAAAATTATACAAAAAGATAATAATTATATTATACAGCCGTACCTGTAGTACCTGTACAGCTGCAGTTGTATTTAGGGATTAATAATTAATATTGCTCGTGCTTATAATAATAATGTAAACTCTTGCTGTTCAAATAATATAGGGTAGATAGTAACCTATCCGATGGTTCGCCAATAGAACTAGTTGAAAGCAGCAGTCGGACGGACAAGAAAAAAAAGAAACACAAACACAAAAGTGATCGGTAAGTGAAACACTTTAAAAACACACTTGTAACAAAAAGCCGTCACAGCGAGGTCAGAGCATGAACGGGTGGGGGAGGTCACAAATCTTTGGGAATATTATAATAACTAAAAATTACAAAATGTGGACAATGTTTTTTTGAAACTAGTTATGCGAGTAAGACATTATGACGTATCCTTATCGAAAATTGCCTGGACGAATTTTGTTCAGTTTTGATGGCGATAAAGTGATCCAGTCAATTACGTAGAACTTTTCATTCTGAGGGGAATTTTATTTTTATTGCGCTATATTAAAACGTCAGAAATTCGCACATTTATATGGCTAGTCAAACACCATAGCTCTCTAGGTCAAAACTTGTAGAAGTTATGACGTTATTTTGTGTTTGATCACATGAGTTTAGCTGTTATCAGTCAGTTCCACTTCATACATTTATAACCCTAATAAGAGATTTTCAAAACTATTTTTTGTGGCAAACATTTTTTTGCAAACATTACATTCATATCTTTTAGTTTGTAGGTTATGTGCATAAGATTTGGCATTTTTTTTTTGGTTTTTCTTTAATAATAATAAAAAGCTTACAGATTTTTGGTAAAATCTTCAATTTAATTTGCAAACCTTTACTCAAATAAGTAAATTAAAGTTAAAAGTCTCCATCCTTCTAAGGGATAAAGTATTTGATATTTTTTTGTTTTATCAGTGTATATATCGATCTTATCAATATTCTTTATGTACTTAAAAAAAATTACAAGACGTCGTAATTTTAAGACGTAAAATGAGTACATTTTTAGGGTATTTTTTTCGACTTTGAAGAGGGAGAGGTTAGCTTTAAATTAAAGAAGAACTTAAATTTATGACCTGATAAAGTATTTTTCAGTTATGATTCCAGATCTGTAGACTTGCCACTTAAAGAAATTAGCCTAGCAGAATTTAGCTAATATTATTTACTGAGACAAATAAAGCTTATTTTAAGAAAATAAAATAGGAGCTCAGTCATTTTACCCTTAGTATTAGTCTAATATAATCTGAAAATATACGTCATATGTTAATTCAGCGACCTTTCCTTTCGGAATGCATCAAGTGTGGCCACATTTCATCCCTCTTTGTAAACAGAATTAAAGCTAATAACTTTTTAAAGAATATTTGATTGACATTACACAAAACAAAATTAATTATCTACATTATAATTTTTCTTATGCTATTTGCGTTTAATAACTACGAAAATTTGAAATTAGCAAGCATAAAAAATCGAAAAAAGAAAATGGTGAACCCAAGACGACCAAGGAAACAAAAAAGTCGAATGGCAGCAGTGTTCAAAATGGAAAACAAAAGCGACTACCGTCTCCAATTCCACCTGATCAAATCAAAAAGAAAAAACCAGACGAAACGGCGGTATCAGAAGTAATTATAGTAGAAGAAGAAATGAACCTCGAGGAATTGATTAAACAGAAGGTAAGTGAATTGTCTGTAAACAAAAATACAGACCTAGTTAAATTTATTTATTTATTTTTTTATTATTTTAAAAAAAACAATGTCAAGTTAAGGGGAATTCTGATTGGTTATTTTTCTTTTTTTTAATCATAATTAAATGTTAAATGAGCTCTTATTAAATTTATTAACAAATCAAAAATAATAATTAGTGCTATTGGTGCTTAATTAAAGGCAGACTAGCTCAAAAAAAGCATACATCATACTTAATTAACTTACATTTAAATTTTGATTAGGTCGGTGTTATAAAAAATTTAATTTAGCTGCCAACATTTTTTTGTTTACCTCCTTTGAGTTAGTAAAAAATATTGGTATTTGGACATTCGTCCTCCTTTAACTACCAGACCGATTTCCTCATAAAGGTTGCCCATAAAAATAAAAATATAAACAATACTGTATCAGCCTGTCATTATCTACTGACCAGTATATTATATTTCCAATATATTATTCAAAAGTTTTTTTTATTTCAAATTACCCAAAATGGCGACCTCTGAAAGTTTTTATATACATATTAAAGAGGAAAAACTCTTGTTTATAAAAAAAAAAATTATCCAAAAAGAAATTTCTTAACCAAAAAAAAATTTTTTAACCAAACATTATTTTTTCATGCTTAGACTATGCTTTATAAATTTCAATGCATTGAATACATAGTTTTGGGAAAAAGCCTTTAAAGTATTTTTAAATTAAAATTAAATAAGGATTTTTCATTTGAATAGGATTCCATTCCTTAAGGTTAGCCGTAGAAAGAACAAATATATATATATATATATGTATTCGATAGTATTAATTTTCTACAATTTAACTCGTAGGCATCACTTCAAGCTAGATTTGGAGCATGATGTGTATCGGAAACAGTCATAGGTAAAAAATCTGCTCTTAAAAACAAGAAAAAGTATTTTTTTTACCTAAAATCATTATTCGGTCAGAGGTTTTTGAAATAGTAAGCAAAATGGAATTCCAGAATTCAGCTGTTGAATGCTGGCCAATATTTTTGCTAAAGTATACTCGTACCGTTGTTATTACTTTTGATTTAGTGTAACTTTATTGCTTTGCTAAATTAAACTCGACTGCGATACATTAAATTAAAAAAAAAAACCAAGTAGAACCGTTGCCCTCTTAATACAGTAAATCCAATAAACGTGAAAGTATATTAACATTTTGTTATAACAATTACTTGAAAGACTTTTAAGTTAGATAAAGAACTTTTTTTTTAAATATTTATATTTTCTTATTGCTACTGTTACTGGTTTTTTTTTACAGAACCCTACTTTCGCTCTTTACGTAATGTTCAATTGAACATAAATATAATCCTAAACGGTTATCTAAAATGTTCTGCAGGTCTTCCAAATTCCTCATACTTAACCAAGACTTCTCCGGTGACTAAGTATAGTAAAAGTAATTAAGACACTGATTTGCCGCTCTACTTACAAGCCAATGATTATTCTGTCAGTTCAGTTGTTGAGTCTTTTAAATATATAAATAATTATTGTGTCATAAATCACTTAGATAAAGTCTTTCATGGACTTGTTAATGTATAAATGATAAAAACTGAAGATTTGTCTTCTCTCCCCCTATAACCTATATTTTTAATACTTCTTAAACAAGAGTTGTTTTACTTCTTTGGGGAAATGTATGTAAAAGAAAGTGTAGAAGTGTATGTTTATTAGTATAAGAAGAGCGATGAATCTAAAGTCACCACCGTCCTATAACTCAATTGTCTACCCTCCATAAAATCTTCTTTAAAATATTTAATTAAAATTTTAAGTGTAATAATGAATCTAATGTTGTTCTTTGTAAATGATGCAAACATTTTAAAATTAAATCGAGCATGTCAATTTAAATACTTTTAGAATATTCTTCTCTGGTTTTGGATATATTCTGCAATTGTTAAATTTAAAGACCGGAGACAATATTCTTATGTCAATTTTTTTTATTTACAATCGGATGATAACACTTAATATAATAGAAATTTATTTATAATTTTATATATTGTATGTTAGTTTAAAGAATCTTTTTTTCAAATTAAAATAGTTTTAGTTAGGTTTCAAGTTAGAATTTTTGTAGATGAATTATTCCATTTTAATGAAATGCAAAAAAAAATGGGTTAGCTCAGGATCTTAAATAAGGATTTTTCATTTGAATAGAATTCTATTTGTTAAGATTAGCCTTAGGATGAACAAATATATATATTTGATGATATTAATTATCTACTTAAATTACAATTTAACTCGTAGGCATTACTTCAAGCTAGATTGGGAGCATGTGTATCGGAAGCAGACATTGGAGAAAAATCTGCTCTTAAAAACAAGAACAATCTAAAAATGTGCATTGAAACTATTGATTTGATCGATGATGATGATACAGATGAAGAGCACAACGTAAGGAATTCAGTTAAGTAAGTTTTTATCAATGTTTAAATAATAGTTGTCTCTTGAGAGAATTATTGTAAAAAAAGTGG